AGTATACCAATACATGTGTCTAGATATATATCTTTCCTTCCCTTAATTAGCTTTTGTATTTAGGAATTGCTTTTATTCCTAAGTGTAGTATAAAGATAAGTGTTTCTCCTTTCGTTTTTTCCTTTGTCCCCTCCTGTGCTTCCCCTTTTCTTTTTTCACTTTCGATTGTTTTACTCGCTTTTTTCTTTTTTTTTTTTTTCCTTGTAGTTGCTATCCGTCGTCTGATTCCTTTATGTTCAACCTTAAGAGTCTGTATTTCATGTCATATATAATTTTTCCTTTTTTTTTCCTTGTAGTTGTTGCGCGTTGTTTGATTCTTCTATATTCAACCTTAAAAGTGTGTATTTTATGTTATTTATAATTTTCTTCCTTTTTTTTTTTAATTACATCATACCTGTCTCATTTTCAATTCGGGAAAAATAACAAAGTGGACTCTTTTTTTTCTTTTTTTTCTTTTGGTTATACGCTGTGACTTTCTTACGTATCTTTTCCGCTCCTTTAGATATAGATACAGGAATTCGAGAATAATTTCTCTTACTATAAGAGAAGTTTTTTCTTTTACTTTTAAAAATTATTGTCATTAAAGGATTTCTCTCATTTAGGGGTTAATAGCTCTGTAAACACGCACTATTATATACGGAGTAGATTTCTCTACGTATATTTATTCATGTAGGATAGATGAGAAAAAAATAAGAAGTTACATGATTCGTCTTCTGTTCCCTCCCATGCGCCCCCGTGTGTTATTCTTTGTGGTGATTATTCTTGTGAGGATGTCAGCAGATAAGAAGTCTAATAGAATGGAACAGAATCTTACCTCTGCCGTAATATATACATACAGAAAGAATAAGCGCAGTACATATTAAGAATCCTCTAAATGTCTGATAAATATCAATTTCTAGGACTGTTATCTTCCGAATGTTACTGTTGAAGTGGGACATTTCTTCGACGAGGAGGCCTTAAATTTAACTGAGCACGCCAAGGATCAGAATGAATATATATGTAATGAAAACGCACAAAAAAGGGCAGGAAACCCCGATGACGAAATTAGGGACAGCCCATAGCATATTCCACAGAGAAATGATAATACAATAGAGCGAGAATCAACAGACTATTTTCCTGAAATTGAAAAGAGCCTGTATCATAACCCTCTACCAAATTACAATACTAAACAGAGGGAATTAGCACACCGTTATTTCCACAATTATAGACAACTTATATGAAAAGTCAGAGAAAAGTATAAACACACTAGAGGAATTTTCTCAAAATTCGTACAACCCACCTCAGTTAAGTTTAGAATGTTACGTCGTCCTTCAGAACTTTAAAGGGGAAGATATGAATGAAATAATCAAATAGATGAATGATAATTTATTCGGGAAGGCGATGCTTGAGGGAGGGATAAGTTTGCAAAAAAATGCCAAAAGGGCTATGCACACCTTGAACAACCCTTTATCCTATTATTTGGGAAAATTAAAAAGTCTGTATAGTGTGGATGGAAACATTGAGAGGGAACAAGTTTGGAACAGGAATCATAGTGTTAACACACCCAGGAGGATCATGGAGGAGTATCAGAATAGACTGTTTTTCTACTACATCATAGGGGATAAATTGCCGCACTCACGTCATGATTCTCTTATAAATGTAATTCAATTTGCGTTTATCTTATTTATAAATGAGCTAGTTACTATGGAGGATCATCACTTAAATAGATGTGAACTGGAGTCAGGAACACTCAGGATGGAGGCCCAGGGATGACGGGTGACAAGGACACCTTGAGCGGCAGATACAAAGGTATATGCATATATATGTTGCTAAGAGGAGGAGGCATATATACTCTTGTACATATATTCTGATATATGCACTTATTTGATAGGCTCTTTCTTATTAGAAACAGGAGTGGAGTTGATTATACAACACAGTTTCCGCAATTATCGGTGCCCGACTGGCATCGTGACTCTATTTTTTACCATGAAACGGTATTTAGTCATTGAAAGACAAATATATGTGCTGTGTGTATTTTGAAGCAGACAGCGAATTAAATTTATATGTAAATTTTGTCAATTTCCGTTTCTTTAAATCCTGATATGAGACTCATCATCGGATGTTCTAAACTCTGTTAATGTTTTTTTCTTTCCTATGAACCATCTATACATACATGATATGCATAGCGTGCTACCAATAGAATTTTACGATTACAGCTGTTGAAATTATTCAAGAGAAATTCTTTATTTTACTCCTTAATTGTTGTAAGGATTTAGAGAATTCATTTTTTTGCCTGGTGGCATGTTTCATTGCGTCTATAAAATACGTGATTACAATGGAAGTAATGTTTTGAGGCTGCATAATAGCAGTGAGAATTCCCTGAATTCTACGGTAAAAGTAGAAGGAGTATGACACCTGAAATCAGTGTACACATATAAATTAGGCATACTACCGTAACCTCAGATGTTAATAATGATACTACGCTTCATCCTTTCTAGTTAAATTTAGCATAATGTGTATATAATATCTTTTGGACTTGTAGGAATTGCATTGATGGTTCCATTATTTATAAATAATTTATTGTAAATGATCACAATGAGGGACTTTTACATGGAAAAAGATCCAGAAGGAATTGATAAGAAAAATCAACTCAGCAATGAAGCAGAGGGCATTACAATTTGGATTATTCTATTCAGAAAAAAAAAAAAAAGAGACCTTTATGGAGTCACCATTTCTTCGCTGAGATAGAACTATAAGAGGTTTACATTATGAACAAAAGAAGAAAAAAAAAAATGTGGACTCCGCATGATAGTAGAATTTGATCGAAACAGTGGTTTATTCTTTTCTATAGTAGCAGTTATCAATAGTACATAATTTAATCCCTTCTTTTAAATTTTCCAGATTTAAATTAGAAGTCGTCTGCATCGTGTTCACTATCGTTCAACAGCAAGAGGATCGCGAAAAAAAATACCTCGTCTTCTTTGATAGTTTAGAATGCATAATAAAGGGAAGATCTCATTTTTTCTTAATTGCAATGCATAAATAATACTTCCATTTGTATAGGTATCAAATGTAAGCATGAGCAGAAGAATAGGTGGTGCTATAATGTAGATATCGCCTTTGTAGAGAAATTATTCTTCAGAGGCTTGTATCGTCAAATTTGCAAAAGAATATTTCCTGATTCGTTTATATGGCCTATTTTGCGAAATTTAGAAGATGCGAATGGCTGTATGAATATATTGTACGCCGGAAGGAGCCTTCATATAATTGTTGAGGTAGCCATCCTCCTTAGCCACGACCAATACACACTGTCGTGTTTGATAAATATTTGGAACTGCATACATTGTAAGCGCAGAAATATATTTTATAATAACATGTCCCATGGTGTCCTTTTTCTTTCTTTTTTTTTTTATTTAAGCTAAAGATATGTTCTAGAATATCTGAATTTA